CACGCACGCACGCACGCACATATATATATATATATATACATATATATATATATATTGAAGCGTGCATGTCATCCGTGTGAAGATGGGGCTATAGTGGGTCCTGTTCTGAATAGTTAAACACAGACATGTGTGTGGATATATATATATATAATAGTAATAATAACTTCAGCCCCTGCCGCGATACCTTTCGAACTTCGCAGCGCTCACGCGCCGCTTTTTGCTGCGACGGCAACGTGGGACAAGGCCACGACGATCTAATTTCTGCCATGAAAAGTTCATTGCAAAACTGCCGCTGCACCACCTCTGAACACCCGATGGAATAAAGTTTGCTTCGAGAGAGAACTCTCCAGCCAGCTGGTCGAGCTTATCGCTCATCTCTCAATGCTCCGGAGCCGTCCATTTGCCCCTACAGGCCCCCATGTGGTCGACCACGTCTCCAGTGGGAAGGTATGAACCCGTCTGTCTGCGGCCCGCCCCGCTCCTCGCGAGCCGAAGTGCGAACAGGTCGATGCCGCCTGCTTTCCCGACTGTACCAACCGTTTGTTCAGTCGCGCGACGTTGATCCCGGCCCGCATGAACCTCGAACGCGCAACGCCCCATTGCACAGCTCACGGGAAGCACCTACGACGGGAAACCCAGCTTCCATCTGCACACTCTTGCGGAATAACGGAACAACAACACACCTATAAGCTGTTGCACGTATTCTAAGTTTTATGATTACCAGCACAAAAATACTTATGACAGTAAGCATAAGGAGGCATGACAAGTATCAGTAGCAAAACAAAGGTAAATGGTCGTATGTCTGATCTGATAATATTCGCTTAGTGGGGTTTATCTAATTAAAATATGCATAGGGAACAAGCGAGAGCGAGCGAGAGAGAGAGAGAGAGAGAGAGAGAGTGAGACAGAGGCAGATTGCATGTGCGACTCGTGGTTCTGGATCCATGGGCGCATCACATGGAAACCTTCCTGCAGACTTCTGAGGCCTCCTCCTTTCCCCAGGCCTTTCTGAACTTTGGGAGAGCCGACGTCCTCATCCACCTCAGATGCAAGAGTTCAACATAGCAACAGATCGCGCCTACTTCCCCCCGAAGTGCATACACCTCTGTCCCGATAAGTGCCCTGCACTAAGAAGTGCCCACTAGCAATTCCCCAGTCCTGTCCGAGCACTTACCGGACGAGTACAAGAAATGCCACTGCGGTGGTGCACCGGTCCTGCACTTGACGCACTTCGTAGTCGTCCCCGGTGCAGGAGAAGGTCTCGTTGTTTCTGACAAAGTTGCAGGTAGCAGCACCTCCAGCAATCGCACACATGCCCGTCATGAGGATGGTGCACCGTCGACCATCGAGCCTGTCATGTACCCCTGGCAGTCGGGAACTTCCCTTGGGGACCTGAGGCATGCCAGTCTGGACATGCAAGGGTCCGCTACGCTACGGAAGTAGAGGATCTGGCCCGTCTGCGAAATCTGTCCTGCTGCCAAAACTTGCACCAACAGTCTGTCTGCTTGCTATGAGCTGGCTGCAAGTTTAAGCAAGCACCTTCTGCAGGCTGCTGACATGATGCTGACTGTAGACTGTAGCCGCTGCCATAGGGATGTGCAGCTGCTATTGGCTCCGGTCCTAGTTGCCACCTCAATCGGGACAAACGGTTTGTCTGGCCCCAGGTGGACCTGATGCAGGTCTGAAATCACCGCTATGCCTACGAAGCCTTCTCCACCGCGAACATGACCAGGATGCAGAGAGGAACAGGACGAGGACTGGGATGAAGCGACGAGAAGGAAGACGAGAGCAAGAGGGGCACGGCGATGTGGATGACCATGATGACGATTGTTGCGGTGATGTTGGTGCCAATGATGGCGATGATGGTCCTGATTGATGACGACAACAGTGATCATGGTCATCATGATGGCGGTGATGACGTCTGACGGTGGTGATGATTATGATGATGACATTTTGATGCTGCTGATGTTGCTGGATGAGGACGATGACAACTACATTCCAGCACGATCAGGACTCAGCACGCTGCCACTAGCAGCTGTGCTTTGACTTCGAGAACCAACAACTCAACCCCCAATCCAAACCCGTATCATGCAAATCATTCAAGCATGTCTACACCATTTGGGGACGAAGACTTTAGCTACACTTGTCTCCAACCTTTGGAGTCAACAGGTAGGAGCTCACAAGGCGAGAACTCGCTCAGATGAACCCTGCTTCCCACCAGTTTGCCTCCTGCGCAGTCTCAGCCCTACCGGATCCTTCCCTCCTTCCCTACCGAGCCTGGAAGCACTCCACAGGTGGGAAGGAGCCCAACATCCACATGTTGAGGGCATGCCTTTGAGCTTTAACTGCTACAGACTGCTGGAATCGGCGATCAAGTTTTCATCAGAATAGTCGGACAAGCCCCAGCTGGCTCCAGGAGCGCCATCGCTGCACCAAAAATAAGTCCCCAGCTGGTTCTGCACACCCGCTCTTCGCTGGCTTGGGGCCTGCGATGGACTACAAGTCCTGTGACTCGCGCTACACAGATCGAACCTCTGGGTCCAGGTTGCTGAAGCGCTCTACATCGCCGGCCCAGGCAATGGATCTCGCAGAGCTGTCAACCTCCCCGGAGTTTGAGAGACGAAGCGGACATCATTGCTTCACCACAAGAGAACAGAGCAGCCTCTAAGCGCAGCTCAGACGTGGCGGTCTTCTCTGCAAGTACAAAGCTGTCATTGAAGACCTCCAACGCAACACGCTTCAAAAAACAAGCCAGAGCAAGAGGCAACAGCCTAGGGGCGCGGCTGTCCATGCAATCAGACCGCAGGGATAGTTTGTGCCTCGCACTCACAGCTCTGATGTGTCCGCAAAGTTCGGGTCTCGGATTCTCAAACAAGCAGAAAGCACGACCATCCGTCTCGGCACGCGGAACGCACGCCTTCCCGAGGAAAGCAACACAAAATTCCAAGTCAGACAACCAGAAAGTGGCGAAAGGGCTGCACGGACACCCCTCTTTAACCACATTCTGCGAACTCAGCCTGGGGAGGCGCCCCCTTGCTGGCTTCGTTGGGGTCCATCAGCTGGGCATCGTCCTGAAACTAGCCCGAACACAGCCCCATGATGCCCAGAATGCCCCGATGATCCGCATGCTTTGTATCTTCGGATTCCTCCAGTACAGTAGTCCTAGGAGCATGCTTGGATCTTGACACTAGTGTCATTCACTTGCATCTGTGCCAAAGATGTAGCAAACAGTAAACAGCTACTGGCAAAGTCTGCTAAACTTCAACCATTCTCGTCATGACAGAAGCATCCAAAAGTTCTTCAGCAGGTATCACTTCTTGCTCACGCTTTCACACCCAACTCTACCCATGGAATGCTGCACATGCTTGCGTGCAGCCCGCCCTGCATCCTGCTGGAGTGCACTGAAAAACCACGCATTGCAGCCTAAAGGAAACATTGCTTTTCTAGTCATTGTCGACCCTTCACATGGAGCATGCCGCGCGCACCCGATTTTCGACGTACATCCGATGATTCTGGTGGAAGCCGGACAGCTGATAGTAGACCTGGTATTCAGCTCTCTCTACGCCTAAGCCCCAGCAGTAAAGCCGGTAGTTCCTCGGAATCGCTTGAGGCCCTCACCCATATGGGTGCTTTCATGTCAGCGTCCACTTCCAGCTCAAATGAAACTGGCGTCAGGGACTGAACAGTGGAATGAGTGCGGCCTTCCGGCTTTTGCCAAAGTGCACCGTCGGTCGGAAAAGAACGATGCGTCGGCAGCTCAAGGGCCTACACCGTTCGAGTCGGGCGGGTCGTCCGTGTAGTCGTGGTACAGCTCAACAACTGCCTGCAATCGCTCTAGTGGCTCAAGTCCCTCCGGACTGCGTCCGAGCCCGAAGTACCTGGTTGGTGAAGTGCAGCACAACTCCTAGCCTCGCAAGCATTACAAATGAGTCTCTCTCCACTTTGTCGAACTTCATAGTTTCACTGAGCTCACCGCACTAAGAAGCAGCAACCAGCTACGATGTAGATGGTCAGCACCACACCTGCAAAGACGGCTGTGGAACACAATGAGGCTTGCTATGAATGGAAGGACTTCCCAACAAGGCTTTGCAATGAGTATGACACACTCGAAACTAGCTCCTTGCGTTAGACTCCGTTAGACCCCTGGCCCCCAGAGGCTCCGGGCCTGGACTGGGCACGGGCTGATAAGATCGCAGCCGTCTCTGAAGCCATCGCCTTCTTCGTTGCGAGCCGCGCAGCCTGGCATATTTTTGCACATCGATTCAACATGAAACAAAACAGACTGACATAGACTCTCAAGCAATGAGCAGGCCAGCAACACCCGCAGCAACAACAGCCTTTTCGCTCGCCATCCTGCGCATGCACTCTGGGGAAGCCTGCCTGGATCTGGACGGATGGTGCAGAGTCCTGGGCTGCCATGAGCCTGGCCACTCTCAGAAATCATCTGAGGGATCTCACGAAAGAGCAGTGGCCTCAGGACCCACACGGGCCCGCCATTGCTTCGGGCTCGCACAGGGCCAAAATCCAATTGCGCTCTCGGCAGAGTATGTGCAACGCGAACTCTAGTGACCCGCGGAACTGTGGATGACGTTTCAGACAACACAACTGCAAGAGACTGGGTCGCAGTAATGCATTTTCCTTCCAATGGTGCCGTGCCACGTGTCTCTGCTGTCTCTGGAAGCACAGATGTCGTGAGTGTCGTCGTGTCCATGAAGCCATCATCATCACAGCTGCTCAACAACGTCCCTGACATCTCCGATCTCCTTCATGTTCTGACGCCGCACCCGTTTCAATGTCCACAGCCACATTGTGGGAGCCGACGAATGGAGGAACCATTATCTCCTGCCCTTGACCTTGACCGGACGTGCCTGGCAACATGAGCTTAGCGTGGCTCTAAGGCATGCCCACCCTGGGCTACCACTTGGCTAATTCAGGAAGTCAACAGATTGAATGTTGTTCGGGCCCAGAGACCTTTACACGAATGCTCACGGCCTTCCTGGTTCAACATCCTGACTACTTGCTCAGTGTAAGAGGAGTCACCAGCGCTGTTCTTTTCCTTGAGTGTGTCACTTCCGGACGGTACAGCATTCCGCAACTCTCTTACCGGCCTTGGGTGCCGAAGGCACAGACCCGCGAGCGTTAGCCAAGGCCCTCTCCTGCCGTCGCTTCGCCTGTCGTTTTAGCAGCGCTGAGCTCTTCAACTTTGTAGCTATGAGATTTGGTAGCTGAAGACGGCCCCGCCTTCGCGGACGAGGGCATCAGAAACACCAGCAAGAACAGCAGGATGAAAATGCCGACAACCTCAGCTCAACAGTGAATGTGCATCATTGCATGCAGAATGGGAACACATCATCTGTCTCTGTCGCTCTCTCTCCCGCTCTCACGCTCACTCCCACACACACACACACACACGCACAAACACAAATCCCGGCGCACCTGGACGTTCTTGATTTGACGCTGATCATCAAACTGTTTTGTTTCATGCAAGGGCCTGAAAAGTCAAACATATTCCAGGCAACCGGTTGAGTGCAATGTCAGAATGAGATGTACGTAGACGGGAGGGTGCTGCCCTGGCAATCCGGATGCAAAGACTGGTGCCCCACGTGGGTGGGATGAAGCGGGCCGGAGTCCATAGATTAGTCAAGCGCAAGTACTTGTTCGCGTGCAGGGTCGGGGGTCTTTGTTGACAGGGATCCCGTCCCTACAGACGGACACACACACACACAGACACACACACGCTTGCAGACCAGTCAGGCTAACTTAGGTGGATGCTGTTCGTGCTGGAGAATTACATCTCACGTGTGGTAGGACTTTTGATAAAGTGCCAATGTGTCGGATCCCACTTCGGACTGCTGCCTCCCACCTTGACGATGTGCCCGCGCAACAGCATTCAACAGTGCCAGGACCCGTAGACTTCACGGTGCTACTCGGGAACCATGAGCAGACGCGCACCAGCGGGCTGAAGCCATGAGCCAAGCAGCGATCCAAAGTCGATCTTCCAAAGCATCTCGAAGGCAAAGGTTCCGGAAAACACCACTGGTGCCAAGCGGCATGGTTCTCGTGATGGCCAAAAAGATCACCAGTTCGCTTGGACCGTCACATTTGGCAAGATTCTGACATCGAGTTGTTACAGCTTTACATTCTATGGCAGGACACCGGGATAATTTATTACGGTGCGTGATCTTTGTATGGGCCTGGAAAGAGCGGAGAGCACGAAACACTGAGCAGTCCATACTATACCAGAGTAGTCTACCACAGAACCACCTCTTGTCGTCACCAGCGCTCTGCGTTTTGGCAGCACTCCTCATTTCCACCGCATTGTGGCGGCTATAGAACTAAACAAAAATCACTGCATGCCAATGCATGCCATGATGCACAACCTGTGTGCAACTAAATTCCTGGAGTCGCTGATTGCCATTCCAGCGTCACTAACCCACTTGGCCCATCTGCAGCGAAGGCTGCTTCAGAGCTCTTTCTGTGGCAGACGCGTGAGAAAAAGATGGGTGAGACTTTCAGTGGCACACCGGCGACCTTGCAAGCAAAGGCATTCAGGCTTTCAAGTGTCTCCGACTCAAGTTGCTGCTGTTCACTTCGGCACATACTTCAGCACTGCGACTTCCCTTCTCGGCAGATCACAAGCTCAACGAAATGAGAGGCGGGGTGCGTTCTACCTTGCTCATCTATTTCACGTGATGAGCTCCCGCTCAAAGGCTCATGTACTCGCAAGCAACTCTGGGGCATTGACTACAGGTCGTACTGCGCTCTGGGACCTTGGCATGGATCGCTTGGGGCGGCTGGGTCAACTCAACTGAAACTCCAATTTCACGATAGGGTCCTGGCCGGTTGATCCCGGAGGCAGCGGCAAAGGCTGTGGCACCTCAGGCCAAGGTGCTCCCCGCAAGTTGCTTAGGACACAAACTTGCTTTCCAGCATATTGCAGTGACCGGAGCTCGACACTGCAAACGCCCTTTTGAGCCTGCGGCCTGGGCCGCAAACGGCGTTTGCTTCGGCAGTCGCGGGTCGCATGCAACCTTGACGAGGCAGGGTAAGAATGCGAAGAGTCGCACGAACGGCAGCCACGACACCTGCACAAGATGAGCCGGCGCGCTCACCCTTTTGTTGCGGGCTGGCCTCGCACAATGTCTGACAGGGAATTCGACAAAGCATCCCAACTCTAACCACCCTATTCTGAGAGCCTGGCTGTTCATTGGGCGATGACGATGACATCCGCTGGCCTCAATGAACTGAACGGCCCGCAAGCGTCTGCCGACCCGAAACAGCTCAAAGCCGTGTGCCGGGCATCTCATTGGTGGCTGTGTCGAGGCCTTTTCAGTACTACTGTCTTTGGGTTTACGGTTCAAGGATGCAGCGAGAAAACACCTTCTCATGTTCTTTCAGAATTTCACCCGGGACCTATACATAGCTATGTAGCCTATACATGACTCACTGCGATAAGCACCAGCACCAGCCCTCACTGGGGCTGCTGCAACGACTAGAAGGATCTGCGATGCTGCTGCAATCACTCATAATACGCTGCCAGACATATGAGGCAAAGGTCGAGGACTATGTCGCATAATCCCCCATATCCCCGCCCCTTCAACCTGTAGAACATCGTCACTGAGGGGTTCTGAGACGAATCCATCCACGTCGACATGGAGTCTGACAATCTTAGCCACTACTAACACTGCCAGCCGCGCATCTGCGGGTGCAATAGGACAATGGGAGCAAGACGAGTAGGAGCAATAGGAGCAGAAGCAGCAGTAGCAGTGAAATTTCGAACGTACGTTAGTATCGACACGATCCTGCATCCAATCAACCACAGGAAACCGATGGAAAAGAAGGCACACCGCGTTCGAAGACTCAGCTAACGGCAACAGCCACGATTGGGGTGTTGGCCGGCTTGGCCACAAAGACCCTGAGCAAGAGCATCAGCTCTGTGATTTTGGACTGCGGCTGCCAACAAAGTCGCCGACGCATGCTGCCCAAACTGTGGGGTGACCATAGTCAGAGCAGGAGCACCAGGAATTCCTGATCAGGTGCAATGCACCAAGCTGAAAGCTCTGCCTTCCATGGCTGTGCGAAGGTCATCCCAGGCAAGCAGCATCAAGCGACAGCCTCGCCTCCAGTCACTTGCCTCAAAACCGGAGCGGTGGGAGTGGTGTGTCCGCTCGTGGCCCGCTGCACCTCAGTACAATCTACGAGCTTGTGCTTCTTCGTAGCTTGCTTGCATCCCCGCTGAGACTGCAACCCATGCCTTGGCCTGCCTGGCGTGCAACCGGAGCGAAAGCGAGTCGGGAAGCTTTCTGCGACTACATCAGGCTGCATGCTGGTTAACAAAAGTTCACTGACATCTCAGCCCCATCTCGCCGGGCTCGCGCAGCCGTGGCAGGTGCCGCTCGTGTCACCAAGCCTGCGAGTACTTGTTGAGAGGCGGTGGTTCTCTGCACAAGGCAACAACCTCCAGCTTGAGGCGATGCTGCCGGAGTTGCCGGTGCCGTTGCTGGGCCTGCGTGGCGGTTCGGGAGGCAGGAAGCCTGATTGAAGATTCAACTGCCTGGGGTGATTGAGCCCTTGCTGCCAACTCGGCCAGTCCCACGACATGAAGAATGGCTGCCTCCAGGTCTCCGCAAACTAAGGTGTGCGGTGCCCGGAGGTCCATCCACGCCTATTCGCATTTCGGCAGCCTGCATAGTTTTCGACATCTGACTGGGGCCTTGCATGTAGGGCGGTGCCTGTGTCTCGCGGTCACGTGGCGTGGCACCGTCCGCTCCAGTGGGTGGTGGAGCAACCTTGGCGCATGTTGGACGCACCAGGAGACTCGAATCTTCGGCCGAACGCACCTTCACTGCCTGTGCCGTGCCATATTCCTCACCTGCAAGTCAAACTCAGACTGTGTTCTGCAGGCTACCACTACAGTATCTCCAGGGTCGCTCCTCGCACGCACCCGCTTACGAAGTCTTCCCGCGGCGGGCTGTCCACAGAGTTTCCCCGTGAGGGGGGACCTTAGAGCACCGAAGGCTGCGCAGAGACATGCTGGAAGTCTGCTGAATTCGGGTTGGAAATGTGCGCACGTGTCCAACTAAGCCAACCCCTTCAAACTCTCTCAACTTGGCGTCTTGCTGAAAATCCGCCTTAACCGCTCGCTGAGCATCGGATTTTCGGAAAGTTCAGCCTGCAGGGTCACGACTTTTCGATTGAGGCAGCGCTGTCACGATCCACATTGAATGCTGGGCTGCTCGCGTGCTGAGCCAGTTTCGCAACGGCTTGTGGGTTCGGTTTGTGGCCGGACCTCGGCGACTGCCAGCACACCTGCACAACATAGCCGTTGTCGGTTTGAGATCGCCACGTCGCACGAGGGATCTCCTTCAGAGCGGAGCTGAGGGATTTCAGCCAAATGCAAGCTCTCAGGTTCCAGGTCCTTCTCCCGCGGGCCTTCTCGGCCTGGCTAAACACATCTGGTAGGGCGCTCTGTGAGGCGGCTGAGGCGGTGCCTTGGGGCTGCCGGACATGCTCCTGCAAAGTGCAAGGCCCCGCTTGGCGGCCGCTGCAACCAGTCGCCGTCAGTTACTAACCGTCGCCTGCGCCAAGAAGTCCACCAGCGCATGAACCTCTCGGACACTGGTGCAGCATCGAGCAGCTCACGACTACACGTTCAGCTTTCTGGTGCCGCGAGGCTTTGCATAGCTTGCGCAGCCCATCAAGGAACAGCTGAACTGAAGCACGCTGTGGCATGGTTCGCAGCATCCCTTGTGGCTGCTCTTGGCCTGCTCCTGCACACGCAGGCACGACTGTGAAGCTCGTTCGTGCCGTGCTTCTGCCTGAGGATCTCAAACCAGGCATCTCTGGGTCTGTGCGTTGGACCACTGGGGCCACGGCTTCCCTGATCCAGTCATCGCTAGGCACCTGCAACGAGCCGTTCCCCTCAAACAGAAATGGGAGATCTGAAGGCAGAGTCACAAGTCGCACGTTATCTTTTATCTTCCCCGGCATCGAAGGGCCCGGTTTGCTGCCCAGGCAAGGCAAGCTCTTGTCCGAGACTGCAGGCCTGAAGCAGGGATCAAAGCTGGAGTCTTAAAAGGACAGTCTCACGAGTACATGTGAGCAAAGGCAAATATAACAATCTGAATATGTGTTATTTGTCGTGAATTTCCCCAAACCGTGGCGAAGCGGATAGCATGATGTGATGCCGTTGACGTGAGGTTGCCTGCAGGTTGTCGTGAGGTTACATGGCGCGATGCGCGTGGGGTGCCGTATTGATTATATAGCCTCGAACTGTCTGAATCCCGCCAATGCTGTGAGGAAGCATCTTGGTCAGATCTCTGAATAGTACTTGGCGGGTTTCTTGCGGCCGGGCTCCTGGATCTGGATCCCGCCAATGTTTGGGGGAAACATTTTTAGCCGTGTCCTGGCAGTCTCCTGGTGGTTTCATGGTTGTCGTGTCCTGGTGGTCCTGGTGGTCGCCGTGGGCGTGGGCCGTCATAAGGCATCGCTGCTGCTGCAAGAATGGCCTTGGAGGGCTGCAAAGGTGGGAGAGAAAAGTCACACTCTACACTGTTGCTTCGACCCCGAGCAGCAGTTCGGAGCCACTCAGACTCAGCAGTTTAGCAAGCGCAGGGTTCCTCCAGCAAAAACGTCGCCTCGAGTGCCTTGACCGAAGCCGCCTCGCGGACATGCTTCTGAATCCCATGGGAATCTCGTCGGATTTTGGTCATCGACCAGCGCATGCAGAGCCGCGACGACCCGCTCCTGATCATCTATCTGATTTTTGCCAGTAAATGGGGGAAGCATTGAGGAAGCATTTTGGTCGCGCCAACTCACGATACGCGTGCGTTGCAAGGGTTCGTTCTCGAATTGACAACCCTTCCGGGATGACCTGCCGTGTCTACATTCTCTGGTAAGCGCGATCCATCGTAGGTATTCCAACACCTGTGTCACATATTGGAAGCATTTTCGCTGTGGTTCGGAATCCCAACACTACAATGGGATTGTGGACATGTCTTGGAATCCGATGGCGGGAGGCATCGCCGCCATGGTCACAAATGGGGGGAAAGAAGCTAGGTCAAGGGTTTGTAAAAAGGTGTGTAAAGGAGCTTCGAGAAGGGTTTATATCGTCGTGATGGATGAATGGTGATGGATGGTGATGGACGGACGGACGGATGGGCGGATGGACAAATGGACCGACGGACAAACGGATGGATGGATGGGTTGATGGATGGATGGGATGGGTGACATGATGCGCAGTGCTTCTTTGCCGCTCGAAGTGCTTTCGGGACGCTCGTTCTGTTTCATTGCTTTGATATTGCATCCGGATGACACAGGGCCAGCCTCCTGGTATCAGCCAGGCAGGCTTTGCAGCACCGACTGTGCGTCCACAGGCAGCATCAACACAACCGGCCAGTGAACCAAAGCGAACCTTGCGACCAACCAGGCCTGACAGCTGACAAACGCTCACAACGTGCACTAGCGAACATTCGAAAGCCCCAAAAGCCTGGAGCGTAGTGCGCATACTTGGCCGAATTTGTCATCAGCACTCGGCTTGAGGCAGGGAGCACAGAGGCCGGTGCTGGCACTACCTGTGGGCGACTCGAGCTCATACTCTGACATGTCCTGTGCTCTGCTGTGCTTTAGCTTGTCTGCGCATGTCTCCGGCCTCTCCCAACATGCACCAGCAGGTGTCACTGACCAGTTGAACACCAAACTCCTCAAGAGTCGCTGAGTATCCTCGTTCACGCGCTTGGGCCAGAACCTGCAACAAAGTGGCCCCCGCTTTCACTGAGTCTCTCTCCTCTGCTTTCTGGCCTGCGGGCCGGCAGTGAGGACCACCGCCACAAGGGGATGCTTCTCGCGTCCCCGGCACAGCTCGGCAAGGCGTCGGTGCTCTTCCAGCGAGAAATGCGGATTCCCAAGCGCCACGAGGTCAACTGCACTCTCATCGGCGTCGGCATCCTAGAGTAGCTCTTGTGGAGGCTGATAGCGCACATGTACAAGTTAGGGTGACTGCCGCGAAGCGTCGAGGTCTGTCCACGCAGACTTGAGGTCATCCTGCCCAAGTTGTATGACCTGGCACAGGCATGAGAGTCCTCGTTGTTCTTCCTACCGAACATTCTGCAAGAGCGAGGATGCTTGCCTCCAGCTGCCTTTCCGGGAGCACACTTTGCAGGTCGCGTGCCTGCTTGCAACAAACCGCAACGGCACGCAGCGAACCACCATCTGTGACTGAGCGCAGCATTCGACAGCGTCAAGAAAGGCTGAACATCCAAGCTCTCGTTCCTCGGGAGTCAGGCCCACGAGGTGGAACATCGCCGCGGAGGAGCTGGTTCCAAATGCCGTGCAGAAGGCCTGAAAGTGGAATAGACAACGTCAGTCAGACCAACAGTCAACAAAGAGCCTTCAAATCATCCCGCGTCGGTGCCAAGTGTTCCAGGCCCGTGATGGCCGGCACTGAGTGGGGAGATCGCAGGCCACAAAGGTATCCCAAGGTAGGATAAAAAGCGTCGTCCAGCTGGCCTCACCGGGTTACACGATTTTGCAGGTCAGCTACCCTGCTCCCGCTTTCAAGGGCCTGGATCCAGCTCCGGGACTGCCAGGATGACCTCCGGCTTCCGGTCCCCGTCAACATGACAGCCAGCCCGAGGTGCTCGGCCGGTAATCGCGACACAGGCATCCAGAAAGTCCGCGTACTTCTGGGTTCCTCGGACATCGTTCCACTGAGTGCACTGCAGTTGAGAGTTCTGGGTTCCTCTTGCAGAGCCAGGCTTCGTGCTCCCAAAATGCTGTTGGCAAAGACCACAGCATTGGATTCCCCCCATCCAATCTGCTCCCCTAGTCGCGGGGCGTTCTCCAACAGGTAGGGCGCACACGTAAAGCTCGGCGCAGCGCCCATCGCGAGGTAGGCGTTCGCGAGAGCCTCCGCCGGCTCTCCCGAATCTGCCGGGACGCCAAGCATCCGCCAGTTCAGTCTGTCCACAGAGATGGCATTCAGAGTTGTCGGGACACGGACCTCTGCATCCCAACTCCGAAGCTTCTCTGCAAACTGCAGGCTCGCAGGGCCGACGTAAGTGCAGCCATCGATGTGTGACTGGCTGACACTGATCAAGTCCTTCACCCCCTGTACCCTGGCCATGCGGCAGATGATGCCTCGGCCCAACACCATGGGAAAACCAGTGCAACATATGCTGCATGCCTTCGCATCGCTGAGCATCCAGCGCATCGCGGCTTGTCTCGCAGGGCCCTCGACTCCCTCTAACATGCTCTGATCGTCTGCACTGAGCTCCACCTCAAGCGACGGAACACGGCAAACTCAACGCACTGTGGCCGAGGACGTCACGCGTAAACGCTTTAGACTTGGCCTCGTCGCTTGGGAATCTCGGCTTTGCTGGAGCTTTGCCCCCTGTGCCGGTCTGCCCCAGGAACAACGAACCATCTTCCAGGATGGCGCGTCCAGCATGCGAGGATAGCAAGCGAGCGAAGCCGGCATCCTAGCGTCTTCCACTCTCATGCCTTCTAGCACTCTCTACCCACAAAGCATAGCCAGTGCTTCCCAGCATCCCCCACGCTCATCACCGGCAATCGAACGTCAAACATCTCTTCTGCCACGATAGCACCGAGAGCGATGATCTCATCCGGGTCCCGCAAAACTATGGCAGCAGGCCTGGCAAAAAAAGGACTCCGACCTGGCTTCTTCGATGTTCCAGCTTCGAGGATGGCCCGGCTATTGCAATGTTATTTCTTTCCGGCACTAGTTGCATCTTGTCCAGCTGGCTAAGCATGTGGAGTCCATGTGGAGTCTCTCACTCTCCCTCTGCACGGCAAGGAAACAAGCACAATTGGCCCGTTGCCGTTGAGGAGCAGCTCCAGTATCACCTGGTAAGCCCAGCTGCTGAAAAGGACGCAATCCGCAAGTACTTAGGTGCTAAGGATATCTGGTGCAGCCAAAGGCCCTTTGTCCGGTTTGGTCGCCCTGTTAATGCAACGAACCCTTGAGTGAATAAGGCCAAAGCAAGCAGTATTCACAGATTCAACTTGCAGTGGAACAGAGGTGAGACACACAAGTTGATCCATCCAAAACAGGCGCAAACCCCAGAAGAACGCTATCTTCCAGACCACTGCAACTCTACCAGCGTTGACGCCGACTTGCATCGATCCTGACCTACTTGCGGGGTTGTCCATTTCCTCGATCATTTACGAAACCAACTTTTCTTCAAACAAGATTCCTAAGCAAATGTCTCTTTCATGTGATCTGATGGTATGCTGGCATGGGCGTTGGCTCAACGGCTTTAGGCAACACAGATCATCATTGACTGCTAAACAAAAGACGTACCGATAAAAGTGTGATAAACGGTCTCCCTGCTATGTCTCTTTCCCACAGAATTTCACGAGGTCGACGATGCACTTCCCAAGCACTTCTGAGTCACTTCTGGACCGAATGAGGGAACCGAGCAGTGCCAGGTAAGCGCAAACTTCCACTGTATTTCTGCCGTATCACCCTCGCTTTTCGGTCTCTCCCTCCGTATGCAAGCAAGACTTGCGCACGGCCAAGGCCAATTGTCGCCAAGCTGCCTGGCTGCCCGTACAGGAGCCTGGCCCCGATTGCCGCCGCTTTAATGCTTTCACTCCACAGTTGCTGTCAATTCTGCACACTTCCGCGATGTGTATATGGGGACAGGCAAGAACCGAGAAACGAGAAGCCTTCTGCGAGCTTCGGGAACCAGGCTCTAGAAAAAACCTACACTGGTTAAGTTCAACTTCGGTTGCTCTGAGCGCCTCGTCCACCCGGCAGGACAAGGATCTTGTCCCGCAGACTGCGCCCATGCAGAGGGTGGTGGCGATCGATGATGGCGCCGGTCTTCGGGGACACGCCACCCCAAAAGCTGAGCCCAACAGAAGACACCAGCACCTGCAAACAGAGCACAGAGTTGGAAAATGGGAACATCGCTGGCAGCCAAAACATCTTCTGCGCAGTGCCTCACCGGAAGCTTTTCCGCCCGAGCTGAGAAGCTGCCCCCGAATCTCACTCGGCGCATCGGCCATGGCTCGAAAGCAACGTGGCCACAGCTGCAACGTGCGACTGAAGGCTCGGTAAAGGCTGCTCCCTTCGGCTCCAACTGAAGGATGTCATGTCGAGCTTGGACTACATTTGACTGCGTGCAGTTCCTTGCTGTCAAAAACCGAAACCGGAGCCTTAGTCGGACAGGGTGTCCACCCAAACAGAAAGCGAATCCTTATCACGCAGACAGGCCTTCCTCAGCACAGCCTGCACATCCCGAAGTCTCGTCGATTGTGCCTGCGAAGGCAGATGAAAGCTTTCAAGAAGCACGGGCCTGCCATCCGTCCTGCTGGGTCTCTTCCGTCTGGGCCAGTCGCCTCCACTCCCAGCACTTCCAGCTGTCTTGCACACTTCTGTAGCACCAACACCCGGCCTCTCGACATCCAGCAGTCGGCTGCACACGCCATCGAGGTTCCTGGCTGGGGGCTTCTCAGCTCTTCCCAACGTGGGCTTCGGAGAGTCACCTGCCTGCTCAGCCGGATTAGCTCTCGCTCCAGAGCAGTCTCAGGTGTCTCGGCCCTCGCCAAGCACAGTGGACTTGTATCGGCAGCATCCGCCATTCTGGACAAAGCGCTGCAAGTAGTGAATGAAGCACACGGAGACTAAGCTAAGCCAACTAAGCTTAGCCCTTGTCTTTGTACTACATTGCTGCGATTTGCTGCAACCCCATGCTTTCGTCCAACCTACGCAATGGTGTGTTTTCAAAAGCCCCTGGAGCTGCAGAAAGATGCAAAATTCACAGAGAGAAACGCAAAACATCCTTGGGCCCGCCCTGATCCCCTTCTCAAGGTTCTCAGGTTGCCTTTTTTGTGTTTCGAGGAGCTCATTCCTGCGGAGCAGCGGCAATGTGCCAACTCAAGAGGCTGCGTCCCCGAAGCACCACCTTCCTTGCCAGCACCTCGGAACGTATCCATATCCATAGCAGGACTGCCGCATAGGTACCCAGATCAGCGCCGAAGTGCCAAAAAACGTGCAGATAAAGGGGGCGCACGGAATGGCAGAAGTTCCGATCGATGAGCAAGAGCAGGAAACCACCAGCATAACACAGCATTGCGGTTGTGAAAAGCAGCCACGCTGTGCTGTTCGCAGATTTCTGGCAAAATACGTACGAACTCCAAACTAGATACTGAACGCCGCTTCCATAGCAAAGCAGGAACACGTTTTGGTTCTCTGTGTCAAATATGACAACTGCTAGAGTTGCAAGCACCGTCAACAATGCAAGCACAATCACTTCGGCGATCCTGCAGCTGTTTCCTCTATCGTTCATGGAACGACAGATGTAGATAAACACTGTGTTTGCCCACACCATGGGGAGCTCATCCAGAAGCTGCATGCTTCGGAGCAGCGTCGCATGAAATGCGAAGCTGCCTAGTCCAATCACAACAAAGGAAAAGAAAGCCAGGAGATAACGCAGCTCTACTAAGGTGACATGCGCGCAGATGCCATAGATTCCGGTAGCAACCAAGCACAAGGAGGTCAAAGAGTTAGCAAGCTCAGCAATGTAGTAGCTTGCTGCATAGTCCCTCTCACACCAGTTTACCGATGCTGTTTTGGCACCCCAGAAGCCCGCCGTTGTGTCACCAGCACCATCAACAGGACCCCGAATGGCCAAGAGCGCGAAGAGGGGTAGAATCAACGTCAGCACAATAGCCAGTACACACTGCAAGCTCTCCAGCGCCATGAGTTCTCCCGCTGCTGCGCGAGTACGCCATGTGCTATATTGTACAACGAAATTCCTTCAGCCGCAAGCGCAACTCCTCTCTCTATCTCGGCTCCCAATCGCACTTCCAGAGTTTAGGCAGCAAGCGGGAGGCAACCTCATTTTGCTAGAGGGCAACCACGGCGGGTCAAGAGGTCTCGAAGGGCGGCAGATGCATGAGAAATTCAGCTTGATCATTACGCAAACAAGCCAAAGCTCGTCACAGGCACCTGCCGCCCGATACGTCATCTGCCCTGGACACTGCACACAACTACATACATGCTCTGCACTTCGCAGTTGGACAAGGAGCCAGTCAAGCCTCTTGATCATGCCAGCTGCCCTTTGAGCAGTACAAGATGCGGGGCCTTGACTGGGCGAAAGTTGGTTCCAGCTTACTCAATGGGCCATACGGGGTTTTCCCTGTCCTCGCCAAATGCGACGGCGAATTCCGCATTTGCCGGTAAAGGCATGACTGTTCTTCTGCCACTCTTGGCAGCAAATGCGGTAAGCCTGCACACAAAGCTACAATCGGCAAAAGAGCTATCCGAATTGGAGCACTCGTCACTGACGGCATGTGACTGAAACAGTAGCAGAGCATCAGTCGGGCTAACTCACGCAGCGCACCCTGACCATCAGATGGTACCGCAGCGGAGAAAGTCACACTAACCGATCACGCCGAGCCTCGAAAGTTCCTGGCTTTGCCGGCTCAAACCTGCATGTGGTAGACCTTGGGAGTGGAAGAGTCAGAGAGGGTAGACTCTGCGATTAAACCGAAGCCGCTGACAGACTCCAGGTCGTCCCCGGAAGTCTGCAACAGAGCGCGACGAGCCCCAAGTGCTTCTTCGAAAAGCCGCACGAGGTGCCCCGCCCTCTTTCGCAAGTAGAAGCCGCCAGCGGCTCCCGCAACCAGAAAGAAGGGCACCACGAAGGCGGAGGCCTTTACAGCAGAGGGCACTTTGCACTCTGTTTCCTGCTGCTCCTGCTAAGTCCCGAGCGGAAGTGGTCTTTTCCGATACCTCCAAAAGCTGGTTTGGCGTCAAACAGCACTCGACTCCCCGGGAGTAGCCTCTGCAAAGGATGCAGGAGGTGATGGCTTGTTGCCTCCCTCCTTCTGCTGCTTTTTGACCAGCTCCTGGGCGACGGATGATACCGTCAACAGCAGAGCGCTCGAATCTCCAACGGCCCTGTCCTTTATCCTCTGCTGCACCTCGGAAGCACAAGGACCAAACACGACTGTGACACAAGCCAGATACTGCCTAACCTGAAAGCTTGCAATCAAGTTGCATTGTCTGCCTGGCCCAACAATTGGCCAATTCGCTTAAAATCTCAACTCCGGACACCCACTCGCAGCACGGATGGAAATCGCTTGCAAATAGGCCAGTTCGGCGGCGGACTCCGCTTCGGCTACAGTCCTGTCTGCCTTCTTCTCAACCTGAGTCCAAGTCGGCCGTAGGCTATGATCGGCCAGCCACAAACTGGGATAGCCTACTGGTCTTGCTCTTCCAATTGAGCTGCCCTTGTCCTGGTGGCTCGAATGAAAGTGTGCGCGTTGCGTCAAGCAGCCGATTGCATGGCACTGCTGAAGCCGTTCTTCAGGGAGTCGGAAACCTGACTCCAAGCGCAACAGCAACAACGACACACGCGCGAATGCTCATGGCATCTATGGGGGCATGGCCTGGTCTACGATTCCGTCGGCCCCGGACTGGATCTCCTGTGCCTGCGGCGCCGATGTCACAAAGCCACAGAACTCCCTGGACTTATGAAAAAGACACTTCTCAGAGCCTTCTGCTTGAATCTATCCTCCATGTCTGCAATCGTGGCCTGCAAGTCGGCATATCGACGCGACGTATTACATCGACATCTCCGATGTCTTATTGCTTTGGACAGCACAACAACCTCCCGGTAAGAGTTACGACGGACCTAGTGGCAACGGGAGGTTTCGAAGCCGAGCAGGCAAGGGGTTTCAAGGATTCAGGGCCTGGGCATCGTCGCCGCCGGAGGATGCAAATGCCAGAGGACCTTTCACGGAAGGCTTCGAACCGGAGCCGGAGTCCTTCGATCCAGCCTGGCACCGCGCTCTTGGCGAAGATGCAAAGACACGCAAGGACCCAACTCTGCAAGAAGCGGCACTCTATGCCCTTTCTGAGAGCTTGAATGAACGATCTTCACTCGTGTTCTGAAACGGCTCTCTTGGCCATGCGACTGTTTGCCGATCAAAGACTTGATCAAACCCAATCAACCCGCAAGGCAGCTATTCTCCTCGCGGGTGTATCGGGTCGACCGAGTATGGCATCGATTTGCAAAGATAAACACTTCTGGTCCATGACCATCCACCTCACAATTTAATGTGAGTCAGTGCACACTAGACATTCGGAGGCCTCTCTTGGCATCGCATGGGACAATGAAGAATGATGGGTGCGGAGTTCTCCAAACAACAGTTGAAGTTAGGTCTAGGTCTATCTGGCGGGCAATTGAGCGATGGGTGCCAGACAGGCCTCGAGGGATATGAACAATTTTGCGAATCCGGAACTGTGAAGCTACGTATGTCAGGTATTTCAGGCCATATGCCCAGCATTGCTGTGCCAGGCCTCCACTCGCTTCTAACAGCGAGCTCAAGACTGAGAATTCGCATGACAGGCAAGAATCACACTGGAACTTGATGATGCATGCATGGATCAAAGCATCTGATGAACGCTAACCTCTCACTGCACGGAGGCATGCAGCATCGGTGCCAGCGCTAGTTAAAGCGTATTTGTCCCTGCAACTGCGCACACTCGGGCCCGGGTAGGGGTAGCTCGCAGATCCCAGGCTGCCTGAAGCTTACACGAAATGCATACACTTCCACGAGAAACTGCCGAAAGCTGCCCAGCACAACACCGCCCGATTCTCTCGCGGTCAAAAAACACTTTTTACAGGCTTCAGATCGGGATTCCAAGGGGCCAGCATTGCCGGTAGAGCCTAAGGCTCTAGTGGAAAAGGGAATGCTCCCTGCAACTTGGACTCCAAAGCCATCAGTTCCTTTCACGGCTGCGCGATGGGCTCGCTGTCCGGACAGTGGGCAGCACCAATTTGGACCTGAAGCATATGGCATATGGTCACATAAGGCTTTAGACAGGCAAGACCCGCTTCCGCAATGCGGCCCAAGGCTGTTGCCCTCTGCGGAGGTGCACGGCCATCCGGGCGAAGTACGGGGCGGACAAACTAGCCTGGAACTCCGAGACATGCCGACATCCAACCCATTGGCCTTTCTATCCTCTGCATCAAGGCCACTCGCTTCAGAAGATCTGGCTCGGATTCTGGAGCATCTACACCTGCGTTTGGGAACGGAGCGGACTCTCCAGCGAGACAGGCATGTCGGCATGAACCATGGCATGTGGCTCATTGCAGGCCAGGGTACCCTCTGTTGTTTCCTCTGCCAAAGTCCTCATGTGAGCGGACAGCACAAATTCATATAAGACGTATTAGGCTCGCCGGCGAGGGGCTCGTTGCAGACCACAGCACCAATGAGCAAGGCTCCTCCACGTTGTGCGAAAGCCTTTGCACCTTCACCTGCCTATACGACTTGCTGACGTAAGCTGCCGCCTCCGAGGATCTCATGAGGTTGCAGCACCTCGGACTCGGATACCACTGCCTTGTGCCTTCTTCCTTTATGGAGTGTCGTTCCGCCGGGGGAAGCACGTCACCCAAAAGTGCCATAGCAGCGACTGCTGCCCAGAGTGGCTCAGAGGCGGCAATAAGGGCCACGTCGGAGCCCTTGACCCTGCGAAGGGCTTCGTTGGCCAGCCACATGGTCAGCACCTCGCCGCAGTGTGCTGCTTGCCATGATGACGAGCAGTGGCTGTAGCACTTTGTCAGCTCTGAACGAACCAACATAATCAAAGCAGCGTTGCCCACCAGAGCCGAAAAGCAGAGCGGTCCCAGGAGCCCGGGCGCCTGTCGGTGTCGGCCGCAGCATGCGCCGGAGCATGACAAATCATCCGACCGCCGTGGGAACGTTTGGGCTATCGGGGAGTGGCACGCTTGGGTCCAAAGCAGGCTTACTCTTCCACTCCTTCAGTGGGGGAAGCTCGCTTCGCTCTCAGGCACAAGTTTATGTAAACATGGAGTGCCTGCAGAACTTGGGGAATCTGCATGGCCAGCTCCATAGCTCCATCTCCACCCTTCTGCCAGGCGAGCCATCCGATGTTGGCCAAGGCCGTCATCCCAAGCTGGATGGCCGTTGAAGGCAGCGTGTCCTGTGGATGATCTTTCCTGCGCTCACGGAATGTCAGGGAGAGTCCAACTGCCTTTGTGATCTTGCACTGAACACCTTTCTCTGGCCAAGGATCATTGTTTGACCCAGCACATACCATCCTGCTCCGAAGGAGAGCGGGACTAGGCTGGCAACCAGATCACCGACGCCCAAATCCAGCGCTCCACCGCCGCCGAACTCGAGCACTCCGACTCCTTCGGCTCAGAAGCCCAGCTAGAAGCCACAATGGATCGAAGATTTTAGAGGAGCCTGTGACCGCCATCGCAGCCGCTGCCAGGGTGCCCATGTTTAAGCGCCCCGCAACAATGCAGGTGATGCCTGGGCCGGAAAGAGCCCTCGACCGCTGCACGGAGCCACACATGCCTGCCTGCGCAGACGACGGCTTGAAGCGAGCCGAAGAAGGAGGTCTTCGCTGCAGTGGTCCCCAATCCTTCGCTGCGACGAGCCCGCTTCGTGATCTGTATTGCTCTGTGCTTCGGTGCCCACAAACCCCGGGTTCCCTGCATCCCGAAGAGCTTCTCTCAGATTTCGTGTGCTGTCGCCAAGATGTTGCCAAGGTGCCCAAGGCCACGAACATTGCTACGTATCCTGCACAGGAGGTCGCAGTTTGGCCATGTACCAAAGTGCGGCATCCCTTTAGTAAGCCTGCCTGCTCCGTAGAAGGCGCCAACCTTCAAAGAGCCAAGCCTGTGCTAAGGCTAAGGGTCAGGAGTCGGTCAGGAGTCCAGTCGAGTGTTTTTGGACCGGGACTCCAGCGTGCTTTGCAAAGAACTGGACGAGAAGAGCCAGGGCGACAAGCACAACGTGGCAACGGTGAAGCGCAGCGCTCCAAAAAGTACGCCGGGCTCCTTCCAGCACATCCCTGGGAAAATTATCGTCCGAACACAGTGTCCTCAAAACCCGCAGATGCCAGAGCGTCAATGCCAGCTTTGGATGACACAATGCTTCCTGTCAGGCCAAGGGGCATGGTCTTTGGCAATCTGAACCAGTTACCACCCCGCTCGGGCCTCCCCACATCATTGCATTGAACATACCTTGCACGTCGTCGCAGATCAAAGGAAAACAAGCCTTCCAAGCAACACATATTCCGCTTCTAAGGCTGACACTGACACCCTTCCTCGGCAGCTAGCTTCGGCAGTCACTCTCGTAAAACAGCACGAGCGCGGATCCAATCTTCAGGCTTGCTAACTATAATCCAAGGCTCCAAAGCACTTCGCTCTCCATGGGATTAGCAGCTGGTGTGGCTGAAGGCACTGCTTCAGCAAGTTGAACCACATCAATGTTAGCCACAGCAGACTCGTGTGTGTCTGGCCGGATCCTGTGACAATCAAAGCCAGTGCAGCTTTTGCAGAAATGATGTATCTCCAGCTATTTCCATGTCAAGAGAGGAAGCAAATGCCGAATTGTAAGTGCTGAAGCTCAAAAAGTCAAGTCTCTTCGTTTCTGTCAAACCAGGCACGAAGCTCTCGTACCCGCTATTGGCGGAGCGGATGCCATGCCTGAAGCAGAATCGACACTTGCCAAAGTGAGACTAAGCAACGGCTCTCTTCGCCGCAGCAGAGCATGTCATGGCATGTATCACACAGGCCAGCCTCCATGCAAGAAAGCAAGCTCCGAAGACAACCGCCACTGCGATGGTCTGCAAAAGCCAAGCACATAGTCAGTCAAACAAAATAAGCAACACATCTTCCTCTCTGCTGAATACCTGCTCAAGAATGACGTCTGCCTTCCGACGTGGCGTCTTGCGGAAACCCATGCTACGATATCGGCGGCAACTATCCGGGGGCCGCTACGGATGCTCTAAAGCCTTGAGACGCATTGCAGCGTTGAGCATGGTATACACAGGTACGCGAGCTTGCCACCCTTCTGCTGCAGCAAGCAAGGGCAAAAAAGCAAGCGAGCAGAAGCTGCGCTGCCACCGCCTTGGCGTGCTCACTGACATGCCCTCTATTTCCCAGCTCCCCTAAGGAACACCTGCTGTAAGACGGGGGATCCCTTTACTGCAGCCCTCATAGCTTTCGCAATCCTCGACTGTCACGCGCCGCCGTGGTCACCATTCTCCGCACCAACAGATGGACAGGGGCATCCGGACACGCGAGCTCCCTCGTTCTTGCACAGAACCACAGGAGTCAGTTCCACCCGGTTGTGCCACCGTCCTCAATACCGTTTCATGACTCGTATGGTTCATGTTGTCCATTGATGAAAGCTCTGCCGGGCTCATGCCGATCGAAGATTCGACTGCAGCCTTTAGTGAAGCTGTTCGTGGCACCTGCGTTCACCTGGCTCTTGCAGCGAAGCTCGGGCCAGCACCCGCTTTGATCCTCTCCTTGTTGGTCTCGTACTGTCCTCATCTGCCCATGCTGGCCACGAGCATGCGGCAATCCCAGCTTCTGGCCTTCGATCGACTTCAGTGCGTATGCCTGGTACTCCTCAAATCGAAAAGAAAGACAGAGAGAGAGAGAGAGAGAGAGAGAGAGAGAGAGCGAGCGAGCGAGCGAGCGAGAGAGAGAGAGAGAGTCAGAGAGTCACAGAGTCC